AAAAGTTACACATTTGGGGCCAAAGTTTATTTTTCTGCATTTGTCTACCTCACATCAATCTACTAACATACGTAAGATCATTTGAAGAATTATAAGAATACTTACCTTCCATGCTATTTGTACCTGGAGAAGGTTTTACCTGAAGAGGGTGGAATAAATAAACCACAAAGAGCTAGCAACTTATTTTGTTACCTACTTTGAGTGTTTTTAGAAGTATGGAAAATATCAAAACACTATTTGAATAGGATGCATATTTTTTTCAGTTTGTGAGGTAGAGTGCTTGATCATCTATTCCTTCTGGTGAAAGTCAATACATTTTCATTATGAAATTCCCTAAAAAAGTAGTAGAAAATAGTTCCACCATAGAAATCAATATAGACATCCTCCCTATAGTTCTTTAGACCGAACATTTAAATATGAAACATAATTTCTCACTTGGCTGGGGAGTCAGTATGATCTGCCTCTGCCCCAGCAGGGAGTCTGCAAAATGGAAGATCAGAGATGGAAAAAAAAAAGTAAGACTGATGAAAATAAATTTATTTATTTGTGTTTTGCCAGATAACTTATAGACATTAGAAGAAACATATATTCCAGTGGTGTATTGAATCCAAATCTTTGGAAAAGAAAATATCCACTTACTGGTCTAAATGATTTGAAGACTTTTTCCAGAATTTCATGTAGTGTCTTTTTACCACACGAAGAAATGTAGTCCTGAGCCAACTGCAGAAAGGGCAAACAGTCCTCACTTTCACTCCAGACGTGCTGAAAGATAAGGCAAAGGTAGCCAACCAGAAATGAAAAATGCCAACATACAAATGCTATTTAAAACTCTGAAAGAGGAAGATGATACTCTGATGCTCTAGACGTTGCTGAACTACAGTCCTAGTAACTCTAGTCAGCATGGCCAATTGTAAGGGAAGCTGAAAACAATTGTCCAGCAATATCTGGAAGGTTCTAATCTGATCTGTGGAGAGTATCAAGAAGGAAGAAGCTAATACCAGCACTATGAATCCCTACCCCCAAATCCAACCTTCTCTAGTTTTAATATTACAGTAGAACCTCTGGTCACGACCGTAATCTGTTCCATGACTTCAGTTGCAATCCAATTTGGTCAGTGAGACTGACTGTGCATTTGCGTAAAAAGAAAAAGATGCGGAAGGGAAAATTGGCACGGAAGGAGAAATCGCCACTGCTGTGTTGATATCACCACTGAGAATTTGTTCGCAACCAGATGCAAAGATTTTCTGACATGTTTGATCGTCACCCAATTTGGTCATAGTCAGAAGCGTTTGTAACCAGAGGTTCTACTGTACTGTATTATAATTACATTTAAGTCCTACCTTTTCCATCAATAATATCTGCCATAAAGATATCTCTGCACACATGGGCTATTATGTGACAAGAAAATTTATACCTTTCCCTTATGCAAGCTCCTTCCTTGCTCGTAACATAGCAGATGGATAAGAAATGACAAGGTTCAATGCCCACCATTGGCATTGTCAAGCAACTACCAAGGGCTCTCAGCCAAACTCCAGAGCCTCTTGAATCTGCTGATGTTTCTTCAGTTATTAGCAGGTGAATGCCTGTCCTGGGTGAACAAGTTGTAACAGTTTGATGTTTCTCCTTCACTTTCCATTTAGTCTCCATTAAGCAAAAATTGCAAATCAAGTTTAAATAATGAATAATGCAATTAACAGGAATATAATTAGATTATATTTGCAGGTAGAACAAGATAGAGGGGAAAAACAGGTCCATAAGGTCTCCTATGCCAGTGGGCTGCTAAGGGTTTTTGTCTATTCACAACAAACTGATTTTGGGCCAATATTAGTTACAAAGCAGCACTATATTGGAAGATGATTTACTATTCTACTCATAACACTCTAATTGCCATTCACTTTTATCAATTTTTAGAAGTTACTCACACTTCAAACATTGGCTTACAATTGCCATATTTTTAATTTTTTTAGAAAAATTCTATGATTAGTTTGAACTTGCAGTTGCTCAACTTTTTAAAGAAAATCTAAAATGCCATGCATGGCAGTAAATTTGATGGACACCAATAGAGGCAAATCTTAAAGGCACAGATTTTCAAAGCCTTAGTCCAAGTTTAAAAAAATGAACCTCTTCAGGCAAATTATAGATTAATTACTGTCAATAAGATCATCCCTTCCTAAACTAGCACCTTCAAATATGTTGGATGATTGGATATAGTGACTAGGAATTTTTGCACATATTGTTTCCACGCACTAAGAAAATATAGTTTAAGAAAACTGTTTTCAGATCTTTTATCAATCAATTCTATACATACATCAAATAACAGCTTAGATTTTAAGATGCTATAGTTGAGTAATCTTGCTTATCTGTGTTTCTAAATGAGCCATCCAAAGAAATAAATCTGAAAGAAGATGATTAAACTAAGCTTTGGCAGACTATAGGAATCACTGAATCCTAGGCTAGAGGGCAAGTACTAACAAGTGCCTCTCAGTGTGTCTGCATTCTCTATGGGCTGATCAATGTAATAAAAGTTCAGGCACTCTTTGTCACTTAATGCCTGGAACATTAAAGGAAGACTTATTAACATGCATCATGAGGGAGGCCAAGCTTTCTCAACACCTGGCATCACTTCAAAAAAAACAAAACTTGTCTTTGGAAGCAGCTTCAATATTCAAGAGATCTTTCAGATGACAGAAAATGGAGCATTTTGGTTGGATTGTTCAGTAGCCCAGCTTGGCAAAAAGTGTGTATGCAATAAAAATTAAATCCCAACTGATAATGATTTGTATAATAGAGGAGCAGAAGGAACAATAAAAATTACAAGGCTGGAATATTCTATTACATCCTGCTATCATTGTTTTTCTGTGATAGGACCTATAAAATTTTTTGCATTTGCCATCCAGTTCATGATGGAGCTTAAATATTTTAAGCAGACTTTCTAAAATTCCTATTCTGTGCATATTGGTAGATAACATTTTATTGCTTTCATGTTTATAAAATGTCTAGAACCATTAGGAGTGAATAGAATAAAATCTGTTCAATAAAATAATCACTGATAGCTCATCTACACCAAGAAAAATAGCAGAACTAAGTATGTTGAAATAAAATAAATGCTTTGCTTTTTATTTTTGTTGTTTAATCTTCTTTCATTTCCCTTTCCTTTCTCAGTTTATTTTCTCCAAACTATTGAATTTTAGATTGTAAGATCCTCAGACAAGGATTGTCTTTTTATGCTTTGAAAGCCCATTCACGGATGAATGAATAAAAATTCACATTGGAAAAGATTCCACTATAGTTGTGTAGGCAATTGAAAGGAAAAAATAGTAATTAATCTACACGTGAAAGAGGCAGAAAAAAGCAACATGCAGACCTGGATATTTTAAATGATAAAATTAAATAAATAAATTCCCAGATATAAACATTGGCATAAATTATACCACCACCCCATCTAAATTGTATATTTGGATATTTGTTTAAAGGTTCAAAAACTAAACTGAATGAAACTAAAGCCATGAATTCCTTCTTTCCCTCCTACTGTAGGTTGATGCGAGTGAAAATCTTAATTTGATTTAGGACAAGTTCCATACTTTTCCTAAATAAAAAGCTCTGCTTTACAGTGGTTAATAGCCAGAATCTCATCCTGAAATTAAGCCACAGCTCAAGATTTGTCCCTTAATAAACTAGGAACTTAGCATTCAAGTTTTGGCAACAGAAAAAAGAAAGAGAAGCCTCATAGATTATGAAGATGAAAACCTGAAAGCTAACAGTGAATGAGATGGGAAGATAAGTTATAAATGTACAGGGATTAACACATTTACAGATGCTGCAAGAATGGAAAATTTAATGGTCTATTCTTGAAAAGCACTAGTTAGCACTAACTCACAGAATTAGTTGAAAGTTAGTAAAGCCATGGAAAGATAAAATCAATGTATACAACCCCTCCTCTGTGATTCAGCACTGAGACAAAAAGTATTTAAATAATTATCCTTAAATGAAGGTAAAATGGTCATTGTGCTCTTGCCCAGAGTGTTTTCTGGTATTCCTATCTAATTCTACAGCCCTGAGATTTCCTCAAGGCATTCTATCCAAATACTGGTAGCAGTTAAGGTCAACCCTACATAAATGTTTCAAGAATAGTCAAAAACAGTTAGGTGCGGCTTTAATATTAAGAGGAGAAAAATAATGCTTTTATTAAAGTAACAGTACACACACAGTTAAATACATGGTTGCTAGCTAACAAAGAGAAAAAAGGAGGGTAATTGTTTTTGCTTCCACCGTAGCAGCTAAAAAAAAGATTAAGCAAGGTTAATTTTTTTTCTCTCTGTTAAAAACAAAGCTGTATAAAATATACAGCTAAACTGTTCTGTATTCTGTACAGTGGTAGATTTTGTCTTCTGTTCAGATGCAGATAGATAAACTCAACAAAACTTTCATACAAAGTCTTTATTATTGGTTCATCAAGTATCCTCATAACTCACATTTGTGATGAAGTTCTTCTTAATGTCCAATCCTTTGCATATCTGTCTTGTAGGTAAAAAGATGGTTATCTCCTTATCCCTTTCCTCCCATCTTGTAGCGGTAGAGGTAGAGCAGCTACCACGAGTCCATGAATTCAGGCAAGAGTGAAGAAACCTCCCCCAACCGATCGAGGGTCAATTTAGTGACCAATCAGGATTACAGATGTGGTCACGTGACATGGACTACATTTCCCAGGATACCTTAACTACATTTACCATGATGCATTCCCTTAAGGAGACAGCTCACAATTGCTAACTAACTATCCAATTCCCATACACTGGCTGGACAGCACACTCTCCACCTGGAATTGTAAATTCTACTATTAAGAGAAGAAAAAAAAGGAATTAACTATAAACTAAGATAAGCAGTAAACAGTAATACTAACTGAATAGCAGATAACGATATAACTAAGATAAACAGTTAGCTATATAACTAAGAGAAACAATAAGCATTAATAAAGCATCAAACAAACCAAAGCATGCAAAGCTTGAGGTTCAATCTTCAAGTTCAGCCTCTTGGTGCAAGTCTGCTGGTCACCTCTGGCGGCCTTTTAGGGTGTACAGGTACTCTTGGTGGCAATGGTGAGAGTCTGGTGGTCGCTTCTGGTGGCTGTTTAGGGTTGGAACAGTAACCTTGCTTCCACATTGTCAAAGGGTGTCAGGAAGCTGTTGGAAAGGGTGTTGTGGAGGCATATGCTCGTGTAGAGCACCTTAGTGGATGTCTGGTGGTTGCTGGCGGCCATTTAGGTGTCCTAGCGAAAGTGTACTGGTTGCCGGTAGCCTTTTTAGGCATTCTTGTTTTCGATGGTGCTAAAAGGCATTGGAATGGATGGTGCTAAGGCATTTGCCTGGGTTGGGGCCTGCATCCGTTAGACACTGACAATTCCTGAGATTCCCCAACCCAGTTATGTAGGGGGCTGAGATCCAAATAATTAATCAATATTATCTGTTATGCATTCATTATTAGGGGAAGGGTAAAGGGCTGAATGTGACCACCCCTTGACTAAAAATTGCTTTAAGATTGTAATTGGGGTCCTTTATTAGCTTTTGAGCCAGGGTCCTTATATCTTGGTACCAAAATAAAAGTATAATTTTGGACCACGCCTTGTGTCCAGAGACTTATTGGCTTTGACACCAAGCAAGAGCCCAGTTTGGGGACAACAGCTGCACTTCAAAAAGCAAGCAATGGTATGCAACAAAATTTAAATTTGATTTAGCTAGTTAAATCTTCATCTTTTTTTACATTAAAGACTGAAATTCCCAAACAATCTTTGGAGTCTTTTCAGCAATTATATCCAATAAATGGGGAGATCAGAGATGGCCTTCAAGTTACAGGTCATACATCCTCACAACAACCAGGTAAGGTACATTTGGACAAAAAGATAATGACTTTGTGCTGGTTAGACAGTATATAGTTAGTTGGGAATTGGGAGCTGTCCCCTTAAGGGAATGCTTCATGGGAAATATAGTTGATGCCTCATGGGAGATGTAGTTCATGTCATGTGGTCGCATCTGTAATCCTGATTGGTCACTGAATTGACCTCTAGTTGGGTTGGGGGAAGCCTTTGTTCATTCTTGCCTAGAGTCAGCATTGTGCTGGAGCTTCCCTTGCTGTATTGTTATGGGATGAAAATAACCATCTTTTCACATTATGAAGACGACTATGCAAAGACTGGACATTAGATGAATCTCAACATAACTGAGTTATACCTTGAGGATGACTAATATAATCCAATAAAGAAAACTTTGTATGGAAGCCTTTGTAGTGTTTAACTACCTGTCTCTATATTCAGCCAGAAAATTAGAGAGGCAGCATAGTGAAAAAATGTTTAATCTGATTTCCTAAGAAAGTGAAAAGGGGCGTTGGTATTTACCTGATACGCCCATTCTATTTGAGCTGCGAGGAGAGATGGAGGTGCTTCAGTCTCTGCTTGCTTAGGCTGAGCTCGAATTGAGGAACACTCCTCCTCTTCCACGTGACTCTTCCAGGGCGTTCCCCAGTTTTGCGAAAGCAAGTGGAAAAAAAGGTTGCTCCTATCCCTATCACCTAAATAATTTTTGGTCCTTGGCCGAGAGAGAGAGGCCCCACCAGACGGAAATTAGGGTGGGGCTGGATGCTCCTCGCAGTTCAAATAGAATGGGTGTATCAGGTAAGTACCAATGCCCCTTCTCCTATGAGCTGCTCGGAGCATCCAGAGATGGGACATACCAAAGCTTGGCCTATCCTAAGGGAGGGACTCCGTCTGGTCCTGGATCTCCCTAGGGTCCCTAAAAACACGTTGCAGGACCCGCCTGCCAAATGAAGCCTCCGCAGAGGCAAACAAGTCAATTTTGTAGTGCCGAATGAAGGGGGAAGGTGACACCCAGGTCGCTGCCCGGCATATTTCGATTATTGGTGCCTGGGTAGCCCAGGCCGCAGAGGTGGCTGCACTCCTGGTTGAATGGGCTGTGATGCCCTTAGGGACCTGAAGGGCCTTGGACTGGTACGATTTTGCTATGGCCACCCTAATCCATCGTCCTATGGTAGACGATGACACCCTGTGTCCCAGAGTTTTGGGTTGGAAAGAAAGAAATAGGGCCTCCGACTTCCTGAAGGGCTTTATGTGTTTGATGTAAATTCACAGCGCGCGTCTTACATCGAGTTTGTGCCATTGTTGTTCCCTTTCCTGTGACGGATTGGGACAAAAATTTGGGAGGATGAGCTCCTGAGTTCTGTGGAAAGCCAAATTGACCTTTGGTAGAAAGGTGGGGTCGGGTCGGAGAACCACCCTATCTGCATGAAAGACACAGAGGTCTTGCCTGACAAACAGGGCTGCTATTTCTGAGATACGTCGGGCTGATGTAATGGCTACCAGGAAAACCACTTTATATGTTAGGAACTGGAGACCCGTCTCCCTCAAAGGCTCGAAAGGCTCTTTGGTAAGGGAGAGGAGGACTTTATTGAGGTCCCAGGTGGGATAACGGTGCACTGGTGGGGGCGTAGGTTGGCAGCCCCTCTAAGGAAAGCTCGGATGAGGGTGTGGTGAGAGAGGGAACTGAGACCCTCGTAAGAAAGGACTGATGACAGAGCAGCTACCTGACACCTTAGTGTGTTAGGAGACAGCCCCTTGTCAAGTCCCTCCTGAAGGAATTCTAAAATTTGAGCAATGGAGGGAGAAACTGGGTTAATTTGAAGTTTGTTGCACCAACGACAGAAAATGGTCCATGTGGCATTATAAATTCGGGTGGTTGATGGTCGTCTGGCAGCTAGGATGGTATCAATGACCTTATTTGAGAGCTGCCCTTTCCTCAAAGTGCTCCGCTCAACCTCCAAATGGTCAGTTGGAGCCATTGCAGATCCAGGTGTAGGAGAGGCCCCTGGGACAAGGAAATCCTGTCTGGTGAGATCCTCCAGGGGGAGGCCACCGAGTGCGGAGGTCCACAAACCATGGCCACCTGTGCCAGTAAGGAGCCACTAGGTGCAACTCCGCCTTTTCGTGGATCACCCTGGGTACCAGAGCCAGAGGAAGGAATGCATAGAGGAGCCCTGAGGCCCATGTGCAGCGGAGCGCGTTGTGATTCTCCCCTCCTTGGGACGGGTATCTTGAAAGGAATCTGGGGAGCTGGGTATTGAGGGGGGAGGCAAACAGGTCTATCACCGGAGACGGATGGGGGTATTTCTGATATGAGCCACCAGAGCTGCCAGGACCTTGGTAAAGGTCCTGGGGGCGGAAGCCAGTCCGAAGGGAAGGGCCACGTATTCAAAGTGTTGGTTATTGTAACAGAACCTTAGGAATTTGGAGTGGGAAAGGCCGAATGGCGATATGTAGGTAAGCTTCTGTTAAGTCTATGGATGTGAGAAAGTCCCCCTGTCTGATCCCCAGTAGTATGGATTGAAGTGTGTGCATTTTGAATTTGCGGTAAGTTAAGAAACGGTTAAGTCGCTTCAAATCTAAGAGGGCCCGCCATTCCCCCGAGTGTTTTGGAACGATGAAGAGGTGGGAATAAAAGCCCCGACCTCGTTGGTCTGGTTGAACAGGTTGGATGGCCCTTATGTTAAGGAGGTGCTGGATGGCGGAAGTCATCAGATTGCGTTTAATCGGGTCTTTGGAGAGGGGGGATGACATAAAAAAATTTGGGGGGGGGGGTGGAATGGAACTCGAGAGCAAGGCCAAATCTAACAGTGTCCCTGACCCAGGAGTCAGAAGCAGAGGAGTCCCATATACTGGCAAATGACTTTAAGCGCCCGCCAATGGGGATAGGGTCCTTATGTCTATCTGGGACGTTGGTAAGGCCTGTTTCCGGATCCCCGAAAAGGCCTTTTATATTGGCTGCCCCTCCTACTTCTTTCTCCAGAGTCAGGTCTATCCTGGAATTGGCCCAGTCTGAAAGAGGGAGGTCTCTGATATCTGGGAGAGAAGGGGGCCTGATAAGAGGGCCGAAAGGAGCCCCTCCGAAAGGGCTGCAACTGTCTAGAATCTGACCTCCAGGTGAGGGAAGGGAGAAATTTCTTTTTGTTCCTGGTCTCCATAAGCAAAGGGTCCAGGGATGGGCCGAATAGTTTGTCCCCCACTATGGGAGAGGAGGCCAGCTTGGCTTTGTTTTTAAAATCCGCTTGCCAGTGTCTGAGCCATAGCAGGCGGTGGGCCTGGACGTGCGATGTAATTGCCCTGGCAGAAAATTTGACCGTGTGATATGTGGCATCCACTGAAAACTCAGCTGCGGCGGTGATCTTAGCAATGTCCTGGTGTGCTCTGGTGTTAGAAGCGGGAGCATGTTGTCTGAGCTGGCGCAACCATTGAATTAAGGACCTAGTAAAGAAAGATGCGGCCGTAGCCAATCTTATGGCCAATGAGTCCGACTGATGGGCCCTGCGCAGGCCAGCTCGGCCCGCTTTTCCTCCGGTTTTAGGGCTTCTAACACCTCAGTCGGAGTCGAGGAGGATGCCAGACCCACAATGGGCTTGTCGACCTCAGGGGTGTTCAACAGATTAGAGAAATCCGGATCCAAGTTGAAGAATTTTTTGTCATGGTTAGAGGGGGCTGGGGGAACCACTACAGACGCCAGTTGTTTTTGGACCAGATCTGCAAGAATAGGGGGAGCTGGAATAGTCTCAGCCTCTACCACGGGTTGGTTAAAAATGAGGTCTTCAGGTCCTTCCCCAGGAGAGATAGGGTGGACTGAGGGGGATTGCTTACTCAGACCTGAAACATTTTTGGCCTTAAACAATAAGGATTTGAATAGTTGCGGCTTAAAGAGGCCCGCAAAGGCGGGTTGGTCAGGGGTGAGCCCCTCGTCCTCAGACATTTCGTTCTCTAGAGGGTCTATGTCTGATAGGGGTTCGCTATAGTGTATGGACCCCAAATCGAAGTCGTCTGGATCCATGAGTTGATCTCCTTCCTCCTCTTCCACCTCCTCCTCCCGCCCTTGCGGGAGGTCCCTATGCAAGGGCACCTGAGCCAGATGCTGTTCAGACCTAGGCAGGGATCTCACCAAGTGAGATTCCTGGTCAGAGCCTACCGGATACTGACTGGACCTGGTGGCTTGCTGGATGCCAGTTGCGATGCCTTGGCGAATAGCCAACTCCATCCAGGATCTTATCTTCTCAGGGATCTCCTCAGGGAGAGACTCCTCTTGTCGGAGACCAGCAGCAGTTGGTGTGAAGGTGGCCTCTGGAGCCCTTCTGGCCAATGTTTCAGGAACCAGAGCCTGTTGTTCCTGAGATGGCAAGCTGCGCATGGAGGAGAAGGAAACATCTGGGGGGGGGAGGTTGAGCAGAGGTAGAGGGACTGGAGGATGGAGGCACCTGAGGCACCTTGGGTGCTTCCTTAGATCTCCTTTCTATTTCTTTTTGTAGGGCCTTAGGGCATCCCTCTGGGCCGCTTTGGAGGTCTCCTTAGCCTGCTTGCACAAGTGGTGGGTTTTGGCTTTTGCCTTCAAAGAAGGTCCTCTAGAAGAATTACCATCTGCCATTGCAATAACTTAAATGTAACTGTAGAAAATTAGAGGTCAATATGAGGCGGTTGGCACGCTCAGGGCCCGATCTATGCAAAGACGGTGTCCCTGATCAATATTACCTTCCCCTTTTAGAATAATTTAAGTGTTGTTGTTCTTTTTCTCTCTCTTATTATTTTTTAAATATTTAATATATATCTCTGAGGAGATATATGATTATGTAGTCAAAGAGAACAACAATTGAGCCGTACCTCAGTGATATTTTGAGAATGAAAATATTATACTGTTAGATCAAGTCAACGTTATATTCAGGGTTGTATCCCTGCTCCTGGGATAACGAAGGTGGCCAATTAGCCGAATTTCGAAGACGCCTAGGCCCGGTAATTAAGATAGGGCCTGCAACAGCCTCTCTGCACAGGCTGACACAAAAGGCCTGGGTGCGGCTGCTGCGCTGCTGGAGAGAGCTGTCGGGTTGAGCCAACAAGTATTCCAATTAAATACAAGCCAGAAAATAGAGAAAAACTAGAATAAGCTCTGAGATAAAGCCAGGCGGGGGCCTGGTAGTTCAGAAAAGCACTCACAGCCTTGAATTAGAGAGAAACAAAATGGCGCACGCCACGAGGCAGCCTCCAAAATGGCGGCCATTAAGACGACGCACCTTCCAGCAGCGTTTCCCCGCCTGGCAGGCTAAACTGAAGCTCAGTTTAGCAAGGGGTAGAAGGAGAAACTACAGTTTCTCCTTAAAGTAACCACAAAAAAGGAAAGAAAGGAAAAACGGCGTTTGAGAGTGGGGGGGAATGAAAAGAACGGCTCAAGCGGAGCAAATAAACCTGAGTCGCTGTGAAACGGAGCGACTAGCAAAACGGCAACAAAATAGGCAGAGAGAGAGAGAGAGAGGTATATTAGGCTGTGGGAGGTAGTGCGAAATTCGCTACTGCCCCTCCCTTGGCCTCTCTAGGGGGCGAAAAAACTGCACTTCCCCTTAATAGCTAGAGTGCCAAACTGAGCAATTGCGCAGGGCTAAGGAGAGGGAATCAAGCCTGGAATTAAAGCTGCTTGAAATAGGTATAAGAATCCAATAATTCTTGCTTCGGCCAAGGAGCAAAGAGCAGAAACAGCCTGTCTCGCACGAGGCTGAGCAAAAACTGGAGAATGCCCTGGAAGAGTCACGTGGAAGAGGAGGAGCATTCCTCAATTCGAGCTCAGCCTAAGCAAGCAGAGACTGAAGCACCTCCATCTCTGGATGCTCCAAGCAGCTCATAGGAGGAGATGTTTAATCTGATTTCTTATGGACAGTGAAAAAAAAGTGAATCCAATTTCCTCTTAAATTAGTTAAAAGAAGCTTGATTCTGACTTCCTCTTAACGAGGTATGAAGCTGAGTGAAATCCTTTCAAATTGGAAAGCAACAAAGGATTTAACCCCTGAATCTCTCTCTGAGCAAGAAAGTTATAAAGCCAATTTAATTACTGGGAGGGGCCAGAAATCCCCCATTTGCAAGAGACAAACAAGTGGCATAATCTCTGTCTCCCTCTGTATCCGTTTGTGTGCTACCTCCGTGACTGTATTTGCAAACAAGAGGCTGATTTGAGTAAGGAAGCTGTATTATCTCCAGGCTCTTGAGTTACTAAAACAAAAAGTTGATTCCTCTCTGTTCATCTGGATGAAGGAATTCGTGCCATAGAGGAAATAGGAACTAAAAGGGGCCCATCTTTACTCAAGTTTATGATGGTGGTCTCCAAGCAACCGAGTTGTAAATACTTTAGGTTGGCCTTGCAAGGAACTGAGGAAATGTATTAGCAATTGAAAGAGATCTCCATGGAGATAAGTCATCTCCATAGATATGAGCCATAAATACCTTTGGTCACTCTGCATGTAAAAACCAACCTCCCTAAAGAGGGAATCTACATCTGTAAGGAGGTAACCAAACCCAGCCTGTTGTTTAACTTTGTTTGCAAAGCTGAAGCAGCATTCCCCTTACTGGAATTTAGAGGCAATCTCAAATCTAAGGACGCCAGCCTACATTCCTCAACAAAGGGAATAAGCCTAAGCACAGCTTGCTCCAAAACAGTAGTTAAATCTGCAGCATCCTTTGGTGACTAATCTTCAATGTCACGAGCCTGTAATCAAGTTAACCCTTGCAACACACCCTCTAGTGGCCAACCAGTATTGCACCAGCATCTTACAGAGCTTGCAACGCACTCTAGCGGCCAACCAGTGTACTGCACCAGTGTCTTCCAGAGCTTGCAACACACCCTAGTGGCCAATCAGTGAATTTCATCGGTGTCTCCTAAATTCAGCTACCCGCTTGCAATGCACTCCAGTGGTCAAGTAGTGAATTTCATCAGAGTCACCAAAATTCAGCTACCCGCTTACAGTACACTCTAGTAGAAAAAGGGGAATTGCACGGAAAACTGCTAAATTTTCCAAAATTCATCCTTTGCCAATTTAAACCATGGCAGCATCTTCAGCCATGACAGATATCTCTGATGTGCCAGAAGACTTGAACCCTCCACCCACCTTTGATGTAAATGTGGAGCTTGGTTCCCCAAACCCAAAATCGGATGTCCAAAGTTCTGAAGAGACAAGGGTACCTCAGAAAACCTACAACCTCAGACAGCAAAGAAAGCCTAACGGAGTTAGGCTTGAAGGAGGATGGAGTTACACTTGAGGGAGGATTGGCAGAAATGGCGAAAGCTCAGGCCCAATTGGAGTTGCTCGAACGACAAAGGGAGATGGCAGCAAAGATAGCACAGGCTGCAGCATTGCAGAAGGCAGCCAACAATGCCTCCCTCAACTTCAACCTTGGAGAGTTGGAAAGAGAGAGCCCAGATAAATGTGTCAAGGACTATGTGGATGAGCAGTACTCGCTACGGCATGAGCAGGCGGAACTGGCACAGTTAGCTAGCAGTCTCCCAAAACCAGGGGATCAAGGGGGAGAATCTCAACCACAGGATCTAAATGCCAGTCAAAATATTGATGTTGTTATTACCAAAATTACTGTTTCTATTCCAAAATGCTCCGGTAAAATTGATTTTTTAAATCAATTGGATTAGTATTAAAATTTATTTGGCAGGGAAAAAGCCCAGAATTAGACTGAAATTGTTACAGGATGCTACTGAAAGGGGAGGACTTGGTTTACCAGACTGGGAAATATACTATAGAGTGGCCACTCTGACCTGGATTAAAGCTTGGATAAGTGTTAAAAACAAAAGAATATTAATATTAGAAGGATATAACCTACAGGCAGGGTGTTATCCTTTTTTTGTGGCAGGACAAACACCAAATTCATGGTTATTTCCAAGGCACAAAATTAGGCAGACCTTACTAAGTGCATCGAACAAAACTAAATCTCAATTCTACATTGAAATACCAACTTGGCTATCTACATTGGAAGCATTAACATACCCACATTTATTGTGACAAGGACAGGTCATTACATATGAGAACATATTAGATGAGAAGGGAAACTTAAAAACAAGACAGGAGCTGAAAGATTTGGGATTTGAGATAGAATGGTGGGCCTGCTTACAATTACAATCAAGGTATAGTAAAGATATGAAAGAATGGGGTACTAGTAAATGGAAAACAGAATTAGATAAAATATTATTAGGAGCGGACGAGAAATTGATTTAAAAAATTTATAAAGTACTATTGGAATATAATTTGGGAGAAGAAAAGGTGAAAGAAACGATGCTGGCCTGGATGAAAGATTTTGGATATGGTATAAATCTGGAAGATTGGGAAATTTTATGGGACAGGAATAGGAAAATTACTCTGGCGTCATCATATAAAGAAAATTTACTAAAAATGTTCTATTGATGGCACATCCCGCCATCAAAACTAGCAAAAATGTATCTGAAATTATCTCCTAAATGCTGGAAATGCAATAAAGAAATTGGAACATATTACCATGTATGGTGGAAATGTGAAAAAGCCCAAATATATTGGCTGAAAATCAGAAACTGGTTAGAAGAGATGTGTAATATTAAAATAAGAGTTCAGACCTGAAATTTTCTTATTGGGTATCAATGTGGGGAAATATAATAAAGAGATAATATATTTAATAATCCATGTCACCACTGCCGCGAGACTAGCTCTTGCCCAGAGATGGACAGGAAATCATATGCCAGAAGAGATGGAAATAATTAGAAAAATCTGGCTGTCTACTGAAATGGATAGAATAACTCAAGAATTAAAAGACTGAATCTGATTATTACAGAATTTGGAAGAAGTTTTACCACTGGTTTAAAAGAAGAAAGGAGTAACTCTAGCAAAGATGATTAATATTTATGCACATGTTTAAATTTGTATTTTTTGTTATGTATGCACCACATTCATTGTTTTTAATGTTTTTTTCTGTTTGTTGTTCATTAATAAAATTATTTTAAAAAATTGATGTTGTAAGACCTAAAACTTGAGACTCCATCCCCGAAAACAGAAAACCTATCCCAATGACTCAAGACCTACAGGGCAAGCAAAGATTTCTCAGCACAAAAGGATCCTGACTTGCCAGGACTCGCTTGTCTTAACTAGTTTGAATTGGTGGACGGCTTTGTGTTGGTTAAACAGTATATAGTTAGTTGGGAATGGGAGCTGTCTCCTTAAGGCCATGATGGCGAACCTATGGCATGCGTGCCACAGGTGGCACGCAGAGCCATTTGTGCCAGCACACAAGTTGCAGGCAAACTGTGCATGTGTGTACCTCACAGCTGATTTTCGGCTGGTTTGAGGCCTTTTTCAGCCTCCCAAAAGCCTGAGGAAGGCTTCTGCAGGCTGAAAACTAGCCCTGTTTCATCACTTCCTGTTTTTCCAAAAATACCAGAAGTGACAAAACGGGGCTAGTTTTTGGCCTGCAAAACCTGCAGAAGCCTTCCTCAAGCCTCTGGGAGGCCGAAAATCAGCTGTAAGGTACAGTACAGGTAAGGGGGCAGTGGGAGTGGGTGAGGATTGTGTGCGCATGCATGGGGGATGCGCGTTGCCCTCTGGGTGCTGGCACGCGAGTGCGAGTGTGCAAGCGCATGCACAATTTTGGGCACAGGAGCCCAAAAAGTTTCACCATCACTGCCTTAAGGGAATGCTTCATGGGAAATGTAGTTAATGCCTCATAGGAGATGTAGTTCATGTCATGTGGTCACATCTGTAATCCTGCTTGTTCACTGAATTGACCATTGGTTGGGTTGCGGGGGGGAGTTTCCTTCACTCTTGCCTGGATTCAGCAGCGTGCTGGAGCTTCCCTTGCTGTACTTTAAAAAAAAAACACCTTTGTCAATATAGTGGATTTGTGAGATTGCATGGAACATGCAGCTGAAATTAAAGACAGACTAATGACCAGAATAGCAACCCTTTTCTTTTTACCTCTCCCTAAACAAGAGTTCTGAGAAATCAAAGCTTGCACACTATTTTGTAATCCTGAGATAGCTGAATATGGGTTTTATATCTTAACTTTCTAATTTGACTGGAGAATTTGAGTTAATGAGTAGATTAGCAGCTGTAGAATAAAATAAAACAAATTGCCTTTTCCTCTTATAGTTAACCAAACTAGATTTGCTTTTTATCTCTATTATTACTAAGAGAAAGGGTGAGACCTTACTTTGGCAAACTAAGATAAGCTGTCAGCAGAAAGTAGCTATCTCATGCCTGTGCCATATTCTACAGGCAGGCAGACCTGATTGAGGAAGATATGTCTCATTCTAAAATCATTTGTTTAAATTAATAAAGGCAGCAAAATCAAAGGCATTCTTCCACAGTGGTTTCTTTAGAAAAAATCTTGGGGGGGGGAATATACGTTATTTGTTTTTCTCCCCCTCCAACAAAAGTCACCAACTGATATTTGTGTGTGTGTTTGTGGGGAGGTGGAATCTACCATCCTCTTCTTAATGCAGTTTGGAACTGGAATAGGAGGTAAGTTTTAATAGATGACTAGACTGTGGGGTTTAGCTTTCTGGCAAAATGCCTCTGGGTCTTGCTCAAATATTTTGGGGCAACTACATTCAAAGTGACCTAACTACCATTAAAACCCATTCAAAAGTAGTGTGAAAACTGGCATGGAGAGAATTGTACTATGGAGAGCATAGGAAAAGTAAATTTTCTTTTTCTTTGGTCTATAATACAATCCCACTATAATCACTGACCAGCTCCTTTTCAGGCTGATTTAGTTCTCTACCCAAGGATCAGTTTGAGTTCGATCAAACAGGGTGAACTGAATTTGAAAGGCCCAGGCTTGCTCCCTATTAAAAGCAGACCATTGAAAACAATACCCAGGATTTGAAGTGGAGGATGTGAATTCATGCTAATCGAAAGTGATCAATAAGTGCTGGGCTGATCACATTCTGTAGAAAGCATTGGCCAACTGTTAGTAAAGTAAGTCAGATTGTATCTGTTATGTATTGAATATATATAGTCATGTTAACCCCTGCTAAAGTGAAACTAACCTTTAGATGACCCTAACTGTTAACTCCAACTGTTTTGGAGGAAACTTAGAACATTCATATTGGGGTAGGCTTTTTCTTTTTTCAATCGATGCAATTTAATCAATATATATACTCACTTAAGATGAAACCAACATGCAGAAAAAAATATGTTCTGTACTTCCATGTTCTTTTACAAGAAAGATTGTCAGTCTGAAGAATTATTATCAATGATCCCCTATTTATTAAAGCAGGAGCTTCATACATCTTGCAAATGACCTCCTTCATTTAGCTTTTAACCAGTATATTGCTTTTTAGGAATGAATTTTGAATTTCTCAGACTCTTAAGACAAAGAGGGGAATACTGAATTTCTAAATATATTACTGTACAGACACAATCAATTTTATTTTATGGTAATTTCCTTGTTTGGTTTATTAACGAGGACTTTTTCGTGATTGTGGATAACGAAGACATCATGAGAAAGAATCCCCTGGTAGACATTGAACTGACAATAACTGGGAGCTCTCACCATATCACAGCTCCTTATTTGACATTTTTTAAAAACGGGCCTCCACTAAACACAATAAGCAAATGTCCAACTAATCACGCAGAAGTTTGCGCTATGTCCCAGGACAGATTTGGGAAAGGCCTTTTGATTATCAAGGAAGAATGTTTCGGAATTCCCTCAACTAACACATTACTGCTGGTGGCGTCATGCCATTGGGCATGCTCTTGCGTAAGCTCCAGCAGTAGTTGTACAAAAGCTCCAATGATGAAGTGCATTGCGGTGCTGCTTGCAGGTGACCAATTTCCAATCCAATAGTCTTTGGAACAGCCAGGGTTCCAAATCAAGGTAAGAGCTATTGCAATCGAAGATCTCCCTAAGTATGCCCAGTACTATTGGTCCTGTCCTCATCGAAATTTGGTGGACAATCTCATGCTTCTCAGAGGTTTACTTGGGTTACTCTCTATAAAAAGCTGTACTCAAAAAATAAAATCCAGTAAACACAGGCACACAAACAATTCCCAAAGACTACTTCTATTGAGGCTACGTTGGAATTCTTGGGTAGGCTTTTTCAAGTATTATGATTGGTTAAGGCCCTTACATTATAGGCAATTGCTTACTGTTCCTCAATTCCAGTTTTCAATCAATAAATATTGTTGTAGCTATGCTGGTCTGCTCCTTGCCTGCTGAAGCCCACTACACAATAGTGGCTATCAAGGTGGGATGTTGCAGAGGAGACAGCTGCTGCTAAGAGACTGAAATCACTGGGCAATAGGCTGGGTAATGAACCCTGGGAGGATTAGTCCTCATCTCCACCTATCAGTAAACCACACTGGAGGCACACTGAAATCACTGGGTCTTCAACCAGATAAAGAGCCCTGGTGGGACCTTGCTCCCTGTCCTGACTGCCAGTAAGACACACTGAAGGCACAGACATACCTAAGGGATCTGTCCCCAGGACTCTTAAGTGCAGCCCAGCTCCAACCGCAACACTACAGGCATTAACTAGCACAAGGGCCTTCCCAAAATGGCTAAACTGGGAAGACTCAATGAGTGTGATATTGCTCACCTGGAACAGTGGAGCTCATGTCTCCCAAATAGACAACTATCTTTGGGCTAACTAGGTCACAGACGATGGCCTGAAGGTGGCAACTCTGCTATGAGTCTGTACACAGGCCACGTTTGATATCGCTGAAAACTTTATAGTACCAGCAAGCATAGAGACAGTGACCTATACAGACCTCAAAAAAAAAAAAAAAAAAACAATTAAGAGAACATTTTGAACTTAAGCTCCTGGTCATTGCCCGGCAACATGCATTTGAGCAATGGGAACAGAGATCCGGGGAATCTGCAACAGAGTTTGTGGCAGCCCTTCCCTAAGCATCATGCCAATGTGAGTTCCCTGATCTGGAAGACCATCTCAGAGACAGTCTTGTTTGCGGCCTGCATAATAATAAAGTACAGCAGCACTATTCGCCATGGAGAAACTGACTTTCCAAGATGCATTGAAGGAAGTCATTGCGGATTAGATTAGATTCAACTTTATTGTCATTGCACATAAACACAGGTAATGAAATGCAGTTAGCATCTAACCAGAAGCGCAAAAACAGCAATGAAGTGTATGTATGTATGTATGTATGTATGTATGTATATATATATATATATATATATATATATGTAGATCTTTGGTTGTTCGGGTTTTCTCCCGCGTAAGATTTG